TGGAAACAAACTGATATCACAACTTCAACTATTCTATTGAAATAAAGTACAAATATTTAAGTTGTCAGGCAACATGTGTCAGTAGTGATACTCACCACCTGTGGCTCTTCAGGTAAATCTCGATTTGGTTTTTTCACTGTTCTGGTGGATTCTCTCCTGGTTGGTATTTTAGCAGCTTTAGCTTTCACAGGAGGCAAGGAATCTCCCATTCCACTGATCGGTGTGGTAGGAGTCGTTGTATCAGCTTTTCTTTTAACTCCTTTTTTGACCTTAAGACAAAATGTTTGTGAAGTCCTTAACCCTTTAACTCCCATAGGTGACCAAGAAAGAATTTCTCCTTACAATATCAAAACAATATCAAGCAGACAAGTCATGAGAATAAAGAAAAATATCAGTTAGGGGATTATAAGATGATCCAATACTAAATCCTCCAAACTATCATCACAAGAACTGTATAGGAGATAGTAAGGAGAATTACTAATGAGATCTTGGGAGTTAAAGGGTTAAGATTTGTTATCTTAAAATTTGAAAGTTGATGAATTGTTGGAAATTTACATTCAAGAAACCTTGAAACAGACTTATAGCAAATATCTATAAATATCGACTTCTACTAAGGTTGCTGTAATGTCAGTCACTACAAACAACAACAATCCTTCTTGGGACTACTCTGAACTGGACAATTCAACTACTTGATCAAAAGTTACAACTGGTTTGAAACACTTATTGTAGTAAAGAACCATTTTATGTAGGTTTTGAAGTAATTTGTCTACCATAGCTCTCCTTTTTTATAAGAAAGTACTGGAAAGTAACAAATGAGGTAAACAAACCTTGGCAGGCTGAACAGTTGTTGGGAGAGCAGGAGCAGCAGAAATGGCAGGGGAGGGCAAGACAGTTGTAGCATCAACTAGAGTTGGAAGAGCAGTTGTGGCTGTTACAGCTACAGGTGGGGTGGGATACGGCAAGCTTGTCATTGGAGTGCTATCTGGAGCTACTGAAATCACAACAATAGAACAAGAGATTAGTGCAAATTAGAACTTCAACTGCTTTCTGCATTATTCAAGATTGACAGAGTGTTCAAGTTAGACTTCGTTTCCAGTCACAGGTTAAGATGTGTGAATCGATTCTACATTCAGAATTTGCACAAAGGTTTGTGTGAGCTTGAGGAGTGCCACACTCATTAGAACTTGTAGTTCCCAGTCCTACATGTAATCTGATGAAACAACATGGTGTCCAGGATAATATGGCCATCTAGTCCTTCTCATTTTCTTCTACTTGCAAACTAGTTGACAGCCCTAATTAAAAAGGTTAGTTTTGCATTTGAATGAATGCAAAGGTGCTGCATGCAGCACCCAAACAGAGAGCATAAAGAAGCAAAGCCAATCAAATCCTGAATTAATTTCAATAATCAATTACAATCGGTTTTAATTTTAATAACACAAATGGCCAGAAAACAAGAGCAGCTATACCTATGCACAGGACACAGTCCAACTAACCCTTTACTCCTAAAATTTGATCATTAATTTCCCTTTCTAGCTGTTTCACATATCCTTTTAAATTAATTCCTGGATAATAACTTCTAACTGATAAGTTTGAGTCTTCTCATTACCTGTTTGCTTGGCAATATATGGGTATTATAGGGAGAAGTTACATGTTAATCACTTCTGAAATTTAAAGGTTTAAAACAGTTACCTGGACTGTGTTCCATTTTTACTGGTGGAACACCACCTTTTTTGGCTCTCTTTGTAGCTGGTCCACTGGGTAAAGCCTTCTTGTTGGGTCCTAGAAGTACCTCAAATTCCTACAGCAAAATATGTAGATCTTGATAAATATATTACCTTTACTTTCCAGTATAAAACACTTTTGAGGTTTCAGTTGAGTATGTCAAATAAGGCATCTATGTACATGCATTTGAACTTCCAAGTCTCACCTCTGCAGGCATGGTTGCAACTTTCTGGTTAAAAACTTTCTCCATTGTCTGGCACATGAGAACTACATCCTGTTGTAAATAAAGATAGATTATTTTTGTGACTGCTGTTTTCATGACATAGGATTTTCATTTGAGAGTTTGGTAGGACAAGCCATTTCAATGGCATGACTCATTCTATTGAATGGGTGCAAAATTTAATTTAGACTGAGCAAATATTGGTGGGTTAGCAGAATAAGCATTGTCACATAAGAACAACCACAGGTCATCTATTAATCTTCCTGACAACAGTATAATCAATAACACATTAAACTGAAGAATGTACAAATAACTTTCAATGCAGCTGTTGTACAGTGGTTCATAAACCACACTGGCCACACCAATCAAACCCCTTGATTTGCAATAACCAATTTTAAATTATGCTTTATAATCCTTGACTTGAACAAATCCCTTAAACCTTTACCCAGGATTAGAAGTGACAAAAAAAAAGGTAATGAACATTAGAATGCAATCATGAATTTTGTTTGATTGTTCATCTTTATCATTTAAACTTAAGAAACAAAAACCACACATATGGCGTCAATAGGAAGTAGTGTATTGCACCAGCATGGTGAATTTTGGCACATTACTTCCTTTTTCCAACTATCAATTACGAGTATGTAAATCAAATTATCAAAAGATACTTTGCTTTAATCTGCTTATGCTTATAACTACTTAACACCAACAAATAAAAGAAAATGTGAAGAAATGTACAATGACTTTCTGGCACTTCCTTTGGTACGACAGTGAGCAAAATTAAGTGGGAACTATGCATCGCAAATTGAATTCTTAAGAAAGATGTTTTTCCTCTATTCTCAGACATGGGACAAAGGAACAAGTCTGGGTTCCCATGAGGTATCAAACCTCAGATCAGGTACTTCCATACTCTAATGTTCTACCACTAAGCCATAGAGACTATATAGTGGGCTAGAACTTTATTAAGTTCAAATGTGATAGGCTTCCTGTATTCTGCTCAGAACAACTATGTCAAGAGCTAGGAATTATTGCATAAAATGGGCAAGAGAGTAAATTTGAAGCTTGGTAATCAAATCAAATCTTGTCCAAGAATCTTTCAACTTGCTTCCAGAACATTTTTGTTATGACCTAACAATCAAAAATTTTTTCATTCCCCTTTCAACTACACTATCCATGTTTGAGGAACAGTCATCCATAGTGAAAACTGTTGCCATTGAAAATTTCCTATCCTTATTGGCCTCATTCACAACATATCTACTGATATATGATTGATTTAGGCACAGCTGGTAAAAAGGTATGTTCAAACAATTCTTAAAGAATTATCAATATCTTCACTAAATGACACCTTTTAACCAAATGTGTTGAAAAGTTCAGAGGAACGGAAATAGCTTTATGATACTTGGGTAAAAACGGAAATTTAATTCAAATTCTGTCGTAATTCCATACTATCAAGCAAACCCAATTTCCTCCTAACTTCCAAGGCATTATAATTGATGCAATCCTGCAATTTTAAATGATTATATTATAATAAACTACAATAGTACTAATCATACCTCTCCTGGTTTGTTGTAAGTGATACAGTTGTTAAACATGAGGCGAAAATCATCGATGCAATCTTGACTGCAGGAATATTCGTGGTTTTCGAGCTTTCTCTTTATCTGACCCATATCCATTGGTTGTTTAATGATTGTGTAATAATCCTACAAGACCACGAGAACTCAAAATCAATAACGACGACTTGCAATGGAGTGAGTGAACACAGTTAGAGTGTTGTACTTTAGGAGTGTACTAACCGGCAAATTTAATTTTACAGCGTCCACTGGTTCGTGAAACGGCCAAGAATATGCATGTCTCCACATCGCTTTCATAATAGTTTTCGACAAATACTGCAATTGGTTGGTCGTTCGATAAACTTTGGGATCTTGCCCGGTAGAAGGTGTCTGAGCCATACCTCTCTACAAAAGACATTTAACAGAATAATAGTTCGAGTAGAATTTATTTCGGTTTCATATGCAACCAACACATCAAATTAGAAATTCAAGCTTTAGGATGCTGCCCGCCCGAGCGAAGCTCGCGAACAACGAAATTGATTAGAGATATATTTACCGCTGTTTGTTGTTCAAAATCGTCGTACTTGTGAGATAAACGCCTTATTCGCTTCCCGAGTCCGTCGGGACTCGTCTCTGGTCGCAATCCATTCAATGAATCGCCAGAGTTTTGTTCGTTTGTGAGACCAGACTGTAAAGTTGAGCTGGGCCTAGAGGTGATGCAATACAACCTCGTCAAATTTCGCCCTCCAATCTAACTAAATAGTCCCAAAAATAGCATAAAAAAGTGCAAAATAACGTTAGACACGATTTATGCTACTTTAGGGGAGGTAAAAGACAGTTCTTGAGAGAGAAAATAGTCCGCGTCACTTCAACGCCATCTTACAATGTCAACGCCATTTTTGGCGGTGCCACGCACAACTATACACGAACGTAAATCACGATTCACAAGCCACATAACCCAATAATAACCGGACCATACCGTTCGATAAGGTTCGTTAGAGGGTTTTGCAAGGTTTGACTAGTCGGATGGCCTTGCGTTTCCATGCACGGCGAAAGATTCCTCACAGATTCTTTCCTCCTTCAAAGATCCGTCCGGCTCGCCGAAGAGCGATAGCCGCCCTTTTGAATTCTCGAACGACCCCCAGCGAAGGGCTTACAAGCCACGTCACTCTTTTGTGTCACGTGCCATTACTCAGCGCGCCAAAAATTGACTGTGTTCTTTTCTCATGGATTGCACGCGAAACGGAAGGCTTATCAACCTTTGGACGCATTTTATACATTTTTCCACCTTGATTTTACGGTAATACAAGTAAGAATAATTGCCAAATTTTCTGCCCGATGTTAGAATTATTACATTATTTACTCTTGCAATACTTTACACAAGTGTCTAACTTAAATCCATAATATCGAATCATCGATCATGTCGACAGTTCCATTTCATTTGAGTGGGTAAAAAATCCTCGTAATTCAGTGATCTGCACAAATCGTAGTAGTCATTACAATGAAATTGGTAGATTCCTTGAGGTTTAATCGTCGATAATCGCAATCGCAAGGTACAATATCATGATCGAAGATAATAACAATTACTTTGATGTGTAACTGGTGCACCGAGACTCCTGATAGGCAGAATACTTGCAGTGGAATCTGTCATAATAAGCAGTAGTTTACTTTCGCAAAGAAGCTTTACCATATGGTAAATAAATGTGAACACAGGAGGAAAATCGATCCATCGCTGCAGCTGCTTGTGTGAAAGTGCTCTTCGGCCAGGCGTGACATTTGTTTACATCCATCTTCCGTAGCGGAATAAATCATCACAACTTAAGATCAGTTCAATTTAAATCCAGATGTCCTCACCAAAGCAAAAGGTATATCAATAAAACGTTCTGTTTGAGACATCTATAGTCAGCAATTTTCAATCCCGGTCTCAGATACATAGATCAAGTACTCGTCGTAAACATAGCTAAATTATTCATACATCGCGAGGCCAGCCTTCGTTTGAGATCATCTCAAGTTTGGCAACGTCTTTCTGTAAGGTTTGTCCAACATGATGCTCGATAAATTCAACGTTTATGACCAAAAGGCAGTTCCCAATATCGCTCTACTGTTAACCACAGTGTACACTTGATGTATCTGTCCACGCAATATGTTCTCAGACTATTCCTGTTGGCGCTCGAAGAGATCACTTCGGTTGGGATAAGTCATACATTACGCCAACCTTGCGCGCGCAACTGAATGATAACAGTGCAGTTTGTGACGACACAGCTCGCGGGACTTTCGAAATACTTCGCGACACTGGTTACGTTCTTCATGAGTTTTTGATCTTGGGTATCTGTTTTCGATGAAATAATCAATGCAATCAAACTTCCTCTCCATTTTCAGAAATCTGACCCTACTTTTTCTGATCCTGTTGATCGTCCGGGGAGGAGAACTGATCAGGGCAATCAAGGTCAAAACAAATAAGGTAGAAAAAATTACATGTAGCATATTTTGGGGTGAATGAAGCTTCAACATACTAACACAGCTAGACTCTGGTAACCTCCTAAGTTTCTTTCAAGTTTTCTGGCAAGCTTCCTATCTATTTTAGTTCAAATTTATCTCAAGGTAGGTAGTTTTCTGTCACTCATATTGCATAGATCTTAAACCACAAAGGAATCCCTACTTGAAAATGGAAATGGGCCTGAAACATGTGGTGTCAGGAACTAGAGGCAGGCGACAGTAGACAATCTGGGACTGAGCTAACTTGGAGTCAGCAAGGGAGAAATATACAGCTCAGAGTTGGCTTAAAGACCTAACCCCTAATATCGGCAACCTACGTTGGGTGTGGCTGTGGGATTGTCATTGTTATAAGATACAAGATTGTTGAAAATTGACTGAGAACAAAGAGAAGTTTTTCTGCATGGTCTTGGAAGGTTAAGTATTTAGGTATTTAGTTAGAGATTAAGTAATTGTTTGTCGTTGTAGTTGTCTTAAAAGAATCAGGATTTTTAGCCTTCAGCTGTACCTTTGTCTGAAAACCAAAATTAAAAGGTCCTCTCCTTGAACAACTTCCAAGTCCTTCCAAGTGGAAAATATACTCCTTTGACCCTCTTACCTGAACCTTAACCCTCAAAATCCTACCCCCTGTATATCTCATCTTTTTTTATTTGAATATTTGTGTATCCCATCTTCATAAAATAAGGTACTTTCATTGGACAACACACTTTACTAATAAATAAAAGAAACACCATTTCAATTTATTGAAGTTCTCTTTAATTTTCAACTTAAACAGAAATTTACCTTGACTTTGCTTTTGTTTCTTTGGGTGTGGGTGTGTAGAACAAAAATAGTTGGTATGAAAAATTGAGCCCTTGTGATATCTAGAAACTAACTTGGATAAAAAAGTGAGCATTTTTTTAAAACTGTAACATGTATAAATATCAATGAAACTCGAAATAAAAAAAAGAAAAAACAGCTCCATTAATCTCCTTCCAGATTACTATCAGAAAGTTTTCATGATCACTCTCTTTTTTCAGTTGCTTGTACCCTTTTTCCATATACCTTATGCATCGACCTGACTGATAAAATATCTAAGTATGTTCTCAGACTAAAAACCTTAAGTAGAACTGTTCACAGAATTATTTTTGAATGCAAAAAAAGTGTGTACTAAGTTATAAACAAAATTTTCTCTCAAAGTTAACAAATGCATTAAAAATATCATTCAGTGATACTACAACACTCATTCTGAATGGGTGAGTTCCTCCTGAATAAGACTTCTAGTCAACATCATCTATGATAGGTTGCTAGGAAAGACAAAATCAAAATTAGTTTAAACTAATGATACCAAAAAGATATCTGCTAAAAGATCTTACCTTGTTCTCAACCCACTCACTTGCAATATCTAAATGTCAATAATTAATTCAATTATTCTCTTCACAATTTTCTATACATTTTTATTTATTTAACTGTTGAGAAATTGGTGTTGAATTGATTTGAATTGAAATTGGAATTTATTGACATTGAAATACATTCAAATTGAAAGAAGAAATTCCTTTCATCACTCCTGAAAATGAAAGAGTTAAAAGTCAAATTCCTTAGTTAATGATTACTTGTGACTGTGACTGTGTAACAGGGGGTCTCTTCAGAGGAATTGCCAGTGTAATATCATCATAAACAAAAATCTAGACACCTAAACCTAAACAAGGTGTAAAAACAGGGTCTAGTTAAGAGCATATTGAGTTACCAATTGAAAGCAGCTATTTCACTGAGTACGAGTCTAGATAAAACCAACAAAGAAGAAGTCTAGTGCAGCTGGTCCTGTTTTCCAAAACATACATCATTGATATGAATCAGAAGCAAAACTGGTAAAATTCTACAAATTTGTTTTGTGCAAGATCAACTTACTAATTCCAATTAGCATATTAGATGTTTTACACACACAAAAAATATATGCCATGTATGACCAGGTATAATAAAAAAAAACTGCACCAAGGTATTGGGTATGATTGAGACCCCTTTGAAAATGTATTCTTTCAAGTCAGATATTAATCAAAAAATTCTAACTATTTCTCAAGGCAGGATACTCAACACAATCATTTTGCTTATGTTTCAATTATGAATCATGATACATATCTACCTGGTCAGCATGATTTGTCATGGGAGTGCCATAAGGGTGCACACGTGAGCGTCTTCCATAAGCTGTTAGAAAAATAGGGATATCAGAGGATACTTCAGAACATAATTTTCATGTCTTTATGATCTGGCTGACTAAAAGAAGCTGAATGCTGAGTGAATCTGCTTCTAAGTTTGCTTCTACTAGTCAAGCTGATTGCCAGCTTCAAATGCCCACCTGAACTGTCTTATTGCCTTCCAAGACTTTCTTTCAGTCTATCCATCTGTGGCTTGTTTGTCTTATAAAATTGATTGTCTTCTACCATTATTTGGCAATTTCAGACTTCCTCATCATTCACCTACATATTCATGCGATATTCTGATCCTCTATCTGTCTGTTTATTCCTGTATCTTCACAGTTTCTTTGATAAACTTACCCCCTTTATTCGTGTACCTGTTACCTAACAGGGGAAAGTTTGACTGTCTTCTCCCATTTTTGAGAGCTTTCTTACTTAACTAATTGGAAATCGGCCATCAAGGATTTTTCTACTATGTTTTCTGCATGTCTGTTTGTCTGCAATTTATCTGCCTGTCTGTCTGTGTCTGACTGACTGACTGTCTATTCTTATGTTAGGTACCTTCTCTATGATCTCTGCCTTTTCCAGTAATGCCAAGCTGCACAGCCAATCCACCAATGAACATGACTGGGATAAGACACAAAATCAGCCATGTGTACCAACAAGTGGGCAAATCTGACTTGTCAAAATGGCCTACAAATTCAAAGAGAATTATCAAATAAACCCCATGAGGCATCATCCACACCAGAGGACAATATTGTCCTCTAATCTCAAAAGAAACTGTTTGTGGGGAGGCACACCAAGAGGGTACTCCTGAACCAAGCAATTCATTCTCAAATATACTGCAAAACCAGAAGAATAACGTTAAATTTTTACACTCTCACATCTGGATGTATATTCTCCATACTGCTCTCTATACATTTCATAGGAGGCTGACAAGGAGAATTTGTTAATCAAGACCTTCTATGGTTAATGATCATTTCCTATAGTCAGTTGCATCTTTAAAGTTATGCATTATTGCCCTAAATTGAATTATTCTGTAGATGCATGGCTGTTCTAGACCTCTCTCTAGTGAGCAATTGCTCCCAATTGCCTAACATTTATTTGGAAATGATTCACTGACAAGTTTTAAACAGTCAACTCACCATGCAGAATGTTGACTGAGTAGTAGAGTGATCTGCTGTTCTCCACAAAGTAGTCAAGGCCATTAATACAACCAAAAGCTCCCAGGAATGAGGAGGCTATTACAATTACCACCTTAAACAAGAAAACACATACACAAACTGAAGAGGTCAGCTTTCACAACACCCAATTGATGTAGCTCCAAAGGTTCAACAAAGAGGTTTTTTTTTAACTTTCCAAAGGATACTTCTTCATACCATGCTTGTAATTCAATATTCAAAAATGGAGTCTCCAAACTAGTTTTTTAGTTACAGTATGTGTACATAAAGCTGAGATAAAAGGCTTTTCTAAGAAGGTGTGGTGTTGCTACAGTCACAGTGGCCTTCCACACTAAACTAACAAGCCAATAATTGAGCATTAATGTGAGCATTTTCATAGAGACACAGCCCTGTCAGGTCATGTTGATGACATAGCAAATTTGAAATGATTTAATAACCATGCATAGTCATGGCCATGGACTACTCCATCTTTTTCCCCAATTCTATTTGCTGTCTGTTGTTAGCTTTGTATACAGGGTAGTGCTCGTACACCAAAAGAAAAAATTAATCAATGCAGCTTTTGTATACCCTCTGTATGCAGAGAATAAGGACTCCTCCCACAATGGCAAAAGCACAAAGAACAATGTAAGGCAGCCAGCTGTGTTCAGACAGGTATTCTGAATGTTTATAGAGAAGTGGCAGACAAACCATGCCCACAAACCATCCCATGGTTGCACCTAATACAATCAAGTAGAGAGAAAGTGTTAACAATAAAAGTCAAATACAACAAAGGAAATATAAAAATGTAAAAAAAACTGTTACATTTGAAACATGACAATATGATAGGGCAGTAAAGTGTCACATGCAACTGAGTAAAATGCATTGCATTACAATAAAGTGGCAATCTAGGAGAGGGTCCTCCCCTAAATTTAGACCTAAAACCTTTTCACTGAGAATCTTTTTTGGCTGATTTATTTTTGAAAGGGACCCCATACTGTGTATATAACTCAAGGTCTGGATCTACCACTTTATTGTGGGTAGTAATGAACTGTGCGCATTTCATTGGTTGACATCTTTGTGATAAAAGTTTGTTCATTTGAAGTTTTGCTGAGAAATGAATTCAGTTTTTAAGGGTTTGTTTGAACCAAGCCTTTAATCCCTCATGTGCGCAGCCAAATTCAAATTAGCCATAAAATGGCCATCATCAAGTGAAAATCCCCCATTAAGAAATATATCAAGTTAATATTTCCTTCTAAGCATGCTAGGAGTGGAAGGACACAACAAAGTAGATTATAATAATCACTTTTTAATGGCTCATTTTCCACTTCCCTGTTAAGAAATTGATGTTAAAGTTAAACTGAGCCTTACCAAGAATAAAAAGTCCCAGATAAAAAATACACAGTGTCAATAGCCCTGCAATGATCCCAACACCAACAGAAGCACCAAGAAATATCTGAAACCATTAACAGAAAAGAATAGTCTTTTCTTTACGTCAAATCAATAACTCTAATTATGCTCTGCCCTCTCTCTTTTAAGGTTAATAGAGATGGAGTCTCTGGAGAAGAAAATTTGCTCACACTTCTAGAACTCATCCCAGTTTCACAACATGAAGGGAATAGGATATTTACTGCTTCCCCAGGGTAGGGTGCTAGTTGTAAGGTACCTCCATAATTTTTCAGTTTACCTTTGTTCACTAGTACCAAACATTCATACTCCTGGATGAAGAGATGCATTCTCAGAGCAAAGTGTCTTGCCCTAGCACACAATTCAGTGACCCTGGCTGAACCTCACACCCAGCCCTTTTGATTCAAATACCATTACCCTTCAACCATCAGACAAGCCCAGTGTAGATCAAGGAATTAATGTTGGAATGGTCTAAACTTTAGTTCAGTTAATACAGAATGTTTTTGTGTTATACTAGAGCTTAGAAATATTTTAAGGTGAGTAACTAAAAATTACTTCAAGTTGAGGGGTAAAATGTTATCCTGTTGCTGGAAGAAATTGGTCTCAAACAAGTAGTAAAAAACCCCAAAGTTCTGATGGGAGGGGTTGCTGTTCCCCTTCAGCTCTTCTCCTACTAGTGAAGCTGACCAAATTCAAGCTGCCTCTAGCAAGACTGAATTTATAGACAATAGTAATAATTACTCTTAAAGAATCATTGCCACTAGAGTTTTAACTGAAGGAATACCATACCTGATCTTTGTGCTCCAGAGATTTCCCAGATAGATGTTCCGCGAGATATCCAGAGCATAACATATAGGTGAAGAAAAATCCTGTTAGGAAACCAGCTAAGAAAAGCATAAACTTGAATATCCGGTATCCTAAAAGGAAATGAATTTAATACAATAAATATTACATAGATTTTATTGCAAATGCACATTTGTATATCTAGAAATAAGGTATGTCATTAACAATAGTAATGACCCCAAAAAATTTTTTTACTGAAATTATGAATAAAATTTTTTCCTATCAGTTTCTATCATTTGAGCATATGTTATCTGTTTTATTTTCCCCCACCTTTATACTGAATGTTAATCACTATCTTGAAGTACTTAATACAAGATATCAGCAATACAACAATTTACAACTATCTTTTAAACTGCTTTTTTCTTTATCTAAAATTTACTTGAACTCAAAACAGTCTAGTTCAGCTCATGTATGCCTTGCAGACCTATTTCGATGTGCACATAAAAATATCGTGTTCACTGAATCAGTTACTACTGAAGAAATGTAAAATGGTTTCCGTGTTTACATAGCCTGATGTAAACACGCGGGAGGTTGGGAGAACACGAGATAAGCGTTGGAAACCATGACACAAAGCAGAGTGGTTTCCAGCTTATTGAGTGTTCTCCCAACCTCCCAAGTGTTTACATCAGGCTATGTAAACACGAAAACCATTTTACATTTCTTTTATAAAATAACTAATGGAAAAGGAACAAAAACTGTGTTTACATACGCTCATGTAAAATGGTTTTATGGCCAATCAGAGCACACGTACTATTTGAATTATTTTATAATATTTATTAATTTGAATAATAAATGTTGTGCTTGTGTGACAACATTTGTTTATGGTAACATTGGGTAAGATTTCCGCACAGCCCCATACTACATTATGCATTCAGTTCTTGAATAGAGAAAACAATGACAAAAACAATACATTTCCATTGGGAAAACAGATTTGTTTTACAATAGTATGGGGCTGTACGGAAACTTTACCTAACATTGTTGCTGACTATTCTCGAAATAGTCAAAGTTTTATTGTTTTCAAGGTAATGAACTGTTTTTCACTTTCATAAATTCATAATTTGCATGCACTTATGGTAGGTAAGATGTATTTCGAAAGCAGGTAAACAGGGGCGTCAGAGCAACTTGTCGGAATATAAACAAACGGTACCGTTAATTAGAACACTAATATAGGTAACTTTTCGTTTAAACTCAAACTGGATGGCCTAGAAATTTTATTCTTCAATGTTTCCCATGTAACCCAATGTCTCTTACCAAAGAAGCAAATGAGCGATCCCAGCAGAATGGCTATTGCAGCCAAAATGCAGCTTTGAGTGTCGTAAGAATTATGCAGCTTGCAATCTTTAGCGTCTGGTTCCAGAGTTGGAGTGGAAGAGACTAAAAAGTCCGATGCCAAATGCATTTTGTAACTTGAAGGATTCGGGCATGCGTTCGGATGTACGGTAAAATGAATATGACCGGAGGTAGCACTGCTCTTCTTGGGAAGACCAACGTCACGGAAGTCCCGAGATCGGGTCTATGTCCCTTGGGGACAATATTCGCTGGTACTCAGATTCTCAATGGTGAACCTATATTTCCTTGGAATTCTAGCACAGAACGGAGCTCTCTGACAATATCTCTCAGAAGCACGTGAATGTGCGCGTGAAACATGATGTTCACCTTCTATCAATGATAGGAGAGTTTGTATCGTTTGGATGACAACGTTTGCATTGCGGTCGAACTGTGGATCAAATTTCCCACCGGCGTAACACCAGATAGGGGCTGTCCTGGTGTACCAGTACAAGGGGGGAATTCTTATTGTTTTCATATCCATACATGGAGTTGTGGCGCAGTTCGTTAATGTTTCGATCCTTTGTGTACCGGTACACGAGGACACAACCCACCAGATAGAACACTTCAGTGGGTAAGTTTTCATTTCGTTTCATACTGTTGGCCATAACATTTGTTCCAAAATGTCCCTTGTCTAATACTATGTCACTTACCGAAGAAACAAATGAGCGATCCTAAAAGAATGCCGATTGAAGCCACACTGCAGCTTTGCGCGTCATAATAATTATACAGCTTGCAGTCATCAGTGTCTGGTTCAAGGGTTAGAAGGGAAAAGACAGAATAGTCTGCTACTAAATGCATTTTTAATACCTCGACGGATTCGAGTAAAACAAAAACGTTTGGCCCTGAGGCACACATTTCTGCTGCTCCTCTTCCGACTCCAATGAGCGTCATTATTACTCTCGCTGCTCCATGAGTAATTAATTGAGGAAATTTAAATCACACGAACCTTACCAAAGTATAAAGAGAAGTGGGTTGGTGTGTTTTGAATTTCCACAAAGACAGCCTCAACAGTTTTTACAAATTTATTTAACAATTTCTCTCTTTTCTACAATAGTAAACAACAATGTTAAGTATAACGCTATTTACAAACTAACAATGCAAATAAATCGTTCTCTACAAATTTTAAAACCAAAATATTTGAAAATGAAAGTATTCGTTTAAACCTATTTCTGACAAACCTCACATTAACCTTTTGAATCCCAGAAGTGATTAACATGTAACTTCTCCATAAAATATCCATATATCCGGTAAACAGGTAATGAGAATACACAAACTTATCTGGTAAAAGTTGTTATCTTCACCTAACACTGAATTCTCTTCATTATTTAACAAGGAAATGTGTAGAAGCTAGAGAGAAGAATTAAAAATCAGATCTAAGAAGTTAAAGGGTTTAGTTTCCAGTAACCAATAAAAGTAAATTTATCCACTGCAAGCTGAGGACCATCCATGTACCTCAAGACCAAAATCAAGGCACTGAAATATTGCTCACTAAGATTAATTTCAGAATTGATTCACCCTCCCTTAAACCACTAGAACAGGACAAGAAACTCTAAAACCATCTTTTTGTTTTCTCAAATTGTCACAGGTCTTTGACAAAAAAGAAAATCCACATGTTCCTCTTCTCCCTAAAGCTTTGGTGTTGCTATGGATGGGCTAAAATACTGAGGAGGTATTAGGGGGTTAGCTTTTCTCTCATCCCATTCCTATGGTTAGGATTTTTATGATACTCAAAACAAGGACATAAGGGCACTTTTAGTGTTTCAGAAATTAAAAAAAAAAACACAAAAAACAAATGTACAGAAATCTCCAAATTTTTTGGGGGCATCTAACAACAAGTGAGGGTTGTTCACGATGATATGATCAAGATGGTTATTTTACAGTTCAGTCCAAAAATTCAATTCTCTGCAACAAGCTGGTTTTAAGTGTTCAAAAGAAAAGTTGCTACCAACCTACTACTAATTTGAAAATTATAGAGATCCTTTTCCCAGAACAATCAGACTACTAAATTTTCCTTGAAAATGTGATGCTATCATAAAACATGGCACTTCTACTGAGCATCTTAGTTGCTCCTGGGAAAAAGCTCTTAAAACTTAATTTGACAACAATATGCCAGAGTGGTAATCGAATTTTCACTTAAAAACAATACAACTCCCTGTGCAGAGCACTCTTATAAGGACAGAAACATTTGAATTATCATGATGATCTGTTCAGGGTGTACTAGATCAATAAGAGGGACACCTGACATATTCTCACCATGATAGTGAAAGTAAAGGATTCTACAACTAAATTTTCTTGGTGTCCTTTGACTCTTGAGTACTGTTTAATCATAGTCTGTCAAAATGGGCCGCTGGTGAAAAGAAAGATGCAGAATGTCAATCAAGAATTGCCCAATAAATTATCAGATGCAACCCTCATAAAAACTTAAAACCAAATCAATCAAAATATAATTAGTCTGGGGGTGGCAAGTTATGTTCAACTGAAGTTGCTGTAGCAAGGTCCAGCTGAGAGAATATCTTGAATAACACTTCCCCCTTGAAAGGTATTACACATACAAGACAAGTGTCAATAAGACAATTGAATGATAAATAATTACAACTTTCTTTACACAGATTTAAAATTAGCACATATGGATAAAATCATGTAATGTGCATTTGTCAATGCTATGAACCCAAGGTTTCAAAACTCAGGATATATCAGATTTGGCTTCCTCTGTGGACAACAAAGTAGCACCTGGTTATATGATTGTTCAAGCAAGTGTGGTCTTGGAAATGACTTTTAGAAGTGACAATGTGACAAAATTTGTCATAGCATAAACCTATGATAAAGACTGCTCCAGTTTTGAAATCATCAGCTCCTGTCATTGGCAACAATGTTCAGATTAAAAGCAACTCACAGGCTCAAGCCATTTACAGTGGAATAACATATACCTGGTCCGAGAATTCCTGCATGGGAGTTGCTGTGTAAAGATTCCTTGAACTCCTGCCATAAGCTGTTTAATACAATAGCAAAATCAGCAAAGGATTTAAGGGGTAATCATAAATAAAATTGGTTGTAGTAGTATTTCAAGTGAGAAGCTGTATTGCAGTTAAAAAACAACAACAACAATAAGTCTAAACACTAGCAGTAATAGAAAGTTCAAGAAGTCAGAGAACAACCAGGGTTTTATTCTTTTCACTGGCTAGCAGTTTGTTTATCCATCAGGCCCCTACTGTTCAAAGGGTGAATTACCTTATCATTACCTGATAAATCTCTAAATGGTGGATAGCAAAGAACGTTTTGTTAACTCTTATCCACTGGAAAGCCATTTCTCCATTAGATAACATTATCTGTTTTCTGAACAACTGGCTAATTGCCAAGCTGTTTAGCCATGACCTCATTTAATGTTTTGCTTCATAAAACCAAGAGATATCCACAAAAGCAAAAAGTTCTTGCTTACAACACAACATTCACACTAAGTCTTATAATAGACACAATCCACAAAAAAAAATACATTACACTTCTCAATCTGCTATAAGAATAACTGAACCTCAATTATTGAACCAACCGATATTACTAATTTTTTCATATAATACAAAATAGGTACTGACACCCTCCACGACACAATACTGTAAATTGTACTACACTTTTTAATGATGATAACAAAAATTAGATAAATCATTGCTGTTCTTCTTCTTCTTCCTCTTCTTCCAATAATGCTAAAAGCATGTTTATCCACAGAAGCTTTATCATTCAGCCATTCTTACCTTCTCTATGATCACTGTTCTTTGCAGTCTTACAAAATTGCACCACCAGCCCAGCAATGAACATGACTGGGATAAGGCCTAACACCACCCAGGTATACCAGCAGTGAGGCAAGGCAGACTTTGTGTAATGACCTACAAAATAAAAGACAACCTCAGCATGAAACGAAACAACAGAACACTGGAAAAGTTGATTATCAGTACCATGAACACAAGGAGAAATTCTCTGTATTTACACATTTCTGCAAATATAATTTTTTTCTCCTTCTCTACCCAAGATGCATGTCCTACACTCTGTTATGATAGAAGAAAATTTAATGAAAAGGCTTCTTGAAAGCCTTTAATTGATGAAATTTCTTGAAAATGATCTTGACCTGGAAAATGATTCTTATATGGTATAGTCAAAGATTTCAATTCATGGAGACATCCTTGTAAAATAGCCAGTAAATACATCTGTTATTTGGGCTTTATTCCCTTAAAGTTAATTCTTGCAAATTCCTGTATAGCAGGCAAAACTAGGAAAGGACCACTTTTTCATCTTCTACTTCTATCAGAAATTAATGTGCTGTGTACTATGCAATATGACCAGGAACTTGGAGGAGGTGCATGAAAAAAAAACCTCTCGTAATTTATACTCATATTAACTCTTCACTTACCATGCAAAACACTGATTGAGTAGTACAGCACTCTGCCATTTTCCACATAGTAATCAATACCATTGACACACCAAAAGGCTCCAGAGAAGGATGTAGAGATGACAATTATTACCTTAAAACCACAATAATAATCATAATTGATTGGTCAATATCTCATTCATGGTGCTATAATACAAAAAATCTAACATGTTTCTTCATGGAAGGGAAAATGTTATTTAAAATGCAAATTCAGGGACCAACTTGGTCAACAGGGTGTCCCATACCCATCAAGAATAGCCCATGAAAGGTGGAGTCAGCAGTTGAGCTAAAGGGCTTGTCAGACCCAACCTTATCCTGGTTTCTGTTGCATGGAGTGACCAGGAGTATTATTACTACCTCTAGATGGGATGCTGCTTCATTGCAGAGTAATTACCCCTTCCTTAACATTTCATCAGGCTCCCCTGTCAGTTTCCTGCTATCTATGTATGCTCCTGGGTGGAGTGAGGCACATACAATACAGGGTGATCTTCAAACCTTAGTGCAGTGGTGATTTTACATATAACAGACCATTGCGATGCCAAATTAAGTTTACATGGGATCCCACAGTTACTTTAATTATCTCTGCTACAGCTACTGTCTAAAATGAAACATAACCTGGAGAATTTGGAAATACTTAGCTAGCTTAATATCTCAGAACAAAGGTTACCTTCTGTATACAGAGAATAAGAATTCCTCCTGCTATGGCAAATGCACAGAGAATGATGTAAGGCAGCCAGTTGTGTTCAGACAGGTATTCTGAATGCTTGTAGAGAAGAGGGAGAAATGCCAGGCCTACAAACCATCCCATGGTTGCACCTGAACATATGAGAGCAGAATACATTTAAACACATTTATAAACATCAAAAACAAGATCATAATAAGATGTTTTAATCAAAAGGTCAATCACATACCAAGAGCAAATAATCCAACATAGAAAATACAAACTGTCAGCAATCCAGCAACAAGACCAACTGCAGCAGAGATACCAAGGAATATCTGCAACAAGAATGAGATGATGAGATTTTAAACTCACCAATTGGTAAACCCAAGTAAACTGTTACCAATGAGTGAACTTCTATAAGTATATTAACACTCTAGCATCTTTGAAATTCAAAATTAAAATACCAGTACAAAGGAAATAACAATTCCCATAGATCAAAATCCGCAAAATGCCTTTACTTTTTCAAATACAATATTATTATAAACTCTTTCAATAATTTTGAAAAATGTTATGTAGGACAATCCTTGTGCCTTTTCATTTTTCCTATTGATAATATTAGTTTCTTTCCTCTTGGCTGATTGTTTCCAATTTAGGTCCTTTTTACCTCCCTACATTTTTTCCATCCCAAACCTACAACAACATGCAATGACAGTTTTAATTCTATTCTCTCAACTCTTATTTTAAAAATCAGCCTGGTTTATAGAAAGCTAGGCCTGTGGCTGTTTATCAATCTATCTTTTGCATTTCTACCAATCATTACTTTAAAGCCCAAACAAAACCACCAGCTACACAAGTTTGAGACCTGAACCGCAGTGGCTGGCCAAGATACACTAGCACCTCAATACTAAGTACTCTCAGGAAAAAAAAAAAGAGAAACACTATAACACACAAACACACTAAAAGATAACTGAAGCACCAAAAGAGAGCAGGATATACATTCATGGAATCATGAACAGCATCTGTAAAAGGCTGAGATTACTGGAGAGCTTGGCTGAATATCAGGGGCTCAAAGAGGATAACTGGGATAAAAAATTGTAAAATAAATGCACAATGATCTGCTTGAGCAGGATAAGTATGAAAACTGCTCAAGATAAATTTATCAACATACCTGACGTCTATGTTCAAAAGATTTTCCAGACAGCTTCTCACTGAGATATTCTTGACACAACACATAAGTGAAGAAAAATACCACCAGAAATCCAACAAGGAACAGAACGAGTTTAAACAAACGGTATCCTGTAAAAAGTGTGAATAGTTGGATTTACTTGTGCATATCAAAATACCTCCTCTTTTATACAATAGTTTACTGATTTCTTACAAGCTTAATGCAACATTTTAGTTATTTTTTACCTAGTACCTTCCAAGATTTTAATTCATAGAAATCATCCAATATATGCGATTATATTTCCATGTAATTTAGTTTACAATTTTTTTTATCATATCATATTAAAGCAACATCTAAATATTATCAGTTTTTGTTGGCTGGATAACAAAAACTGATTCTGTATTTACAAAGTACTCCATAAAATTACCGCCATAAAACCACATAATGGGTATTAAACGACTTTACAGTTAATCCCCTTTTCCCTTTTTAGGCCGAAAAAACTAAAGAGCAATGTCAATGTATTGCAGGTTTGCATGTAACTAGCACATATACATACTTAAGACTATTGCATATGAGTTTAAAGCTTTATCAAATGAAAGACCTTGCGAATGTTCGACTCTGTTATTTTCTCTGCCTTACTATGTTAGGGGGGTTTATTTTCCAAGTTTTACATCGTGTGACAAGCTAGAAAGATAGTTGCGAAGATGAAGAGATTATCTTTCCTATCACTTGGTTTCCTTTTCAAACTGCTCACGCCTCCTCAGTGTGTACGATCATTTGAGCAGCGGCTAATAGATTTTAAGACAATTTATTAGCAACACTCACTAAAAGTCATCAAAAATATGGCGGTCGTTGCGACCGCCATAATTGTGTGCGTGCGGCGGCGACATCATTTCGACAAATTTGATTAAAACATTTATTCGAGTTACTAAGGTATGAAGACATAAAAACTTTCTAAGACTTAACAATCCAGATATTAATAATATTTCTAAAGCATGCCTGAATATAAACTTAGATGATAAAATGGTTTTCGATTCATTTTCAATTGCGTGAATCGGGCAAACCACGAAATTACAAATTCGCGTGCCTGTTTGTAAAAGAGTTTGGTCGAAATTACATTAAATACGGAGAAGAAGCTTTAGAGTCTCTTTGTCTTTCGATAGAAAGTTCCTCACCGTAAAAACAGACAGCTGTTCCCAGCAAAACACTAATTCCAGCCAGAACACAGCTCTGAATGTCATACCCGTTGTGCAGCTTGCAATCGTCCGAGTCTCGTTCAAAGGTTTGAAGGAAATTGGAAGCCATTCAGAAGCCTTTGGTGATACAGATCACAAATTTACGCTAAGTCAAAGAGGAAATGCCAAAGTTGCGATTACAAAACATTCGAAAGCAACGCGGAGGAGAAATTGTAGTTAACAAAAGAAGTCCTCATCCGGCCTCATGCTGTCACGTCGCCTCGCTAACCCTGGGAACGAGGTCGCAGGCGGAAGTATCAAACTTGTCCAAGTTTGACTACGATAAGGGGCGGTTGAATTCTCCCATGATGTGATTTCTTGATTCTCTTCATCTTTGGGCCGTGATCATGTCGGTTGGAGTTTCGATGTGTAGGTTTAGAAAGCAGTTGCCAAAGGGACATGGAAAAATGACTATCGGCAGTGGATGCGTCGTCCATCGAAAATTCAATTCCGACGGCTCGAATTCGAAGGAGGACGTTTTCTTGGTCACCACAACGCAAGTCGTAACTAAGCAAGAGCTGCTCGCGAAAAATACGGGAATAACAGTTGAATTTCTCAACAAACGGGAGTCCTTTAGTTTGGATTCCGCAGAAGTGTTCGACATCCCTGATCCTGTGCATGGAGGAGTACTGGCAGGAATGGAGAGCAGCGAAGCCAAGAGGATGCAGCAAGAATCGGCTCAAGTGTCGTTCATCTTTATACCCGTGCACAAATTTGATAGCAGAAATGTATTGGTTAAGAAATTCATCCCTTTTATCACTTTCAGTCTGGAAAAGAAACGTGCCATGCCCTCCAGGTCTCAAAGTGATGAAATCTTGCAGTCTTTCATCGCAAGTAGAAAGGTGCTGTGCCATGTTCTTTCCGACTCTGGCAGAGGAGACGGCTACTATAACACCGAGCCATACTGCCTCGAGTTTCGAGATGAAACCAACGATTTCATTCTAACTACAGTAACTGACCGTGATGGCGCAGCAGTTGAGAGTCAGAAGGATCTCCACAGAGAGGAGAAACCATGGGGAGCTATCCTTATGAACGAAGAAGGAGAGTTCGTGGGAATGCTAGCTGTTGGAACCTCACAACAAAAGAAATTGTATCCCTTGTTCCTGCCGACGCTGGCCCAAGACAATCAGTCTAGTAAGTAAATTTGTAGTAGATGAGCCACAATAACCGGGGGGCGGGACACAGAGTTAAATAGGGAAATGCTGTTCTTCTTTACAAGTTTCTGAACACAACATTCCCACTACACTTATTTAAGTTGTCATGAGCTTATACAAAAGGAAGGTGATTCGCAGAGCAGTGGTTGGTGCATACTTCCTAACTTCTGTTTGAAACCTTTCGAATCTTAAGTCCATCTAGTTAATTTTTTTTAATGGAAACTGTTATACTCAAGTTGGAATTTATAATTAATGTACTTCATAGTTTATTTGACCATCTTTTGATCACCACCAATCAAATTAATTCCATTACATGATGTAAGCCAGATCATCAATTAGCATAGCTACATCATTGTTTTCAACAATCTCAGGTGAAGGGAACCAAGAAGCTGTTAACCCAAATTTAGATCAGCCATATAGCCAAAAAGAACAACTCAATTCAAACCTTGCAAATTTGGACCAAAGGACAGTAAATGGTTGTACTCCAGATGAAGAAAGAATCAGTGATGACAACAAAAAATCACTTCTGTTGGTGGATTTGCCAAAGTCAGCAGATGCATACCCTAGACAAGATGAAATGCCAGTTTCCAGTAATTTACCCTCATCTACAAAAGAATTTGCCACATTTGATGATCAATATGATCATGATCCAGTGGATATCCAAGACTCAGAACCCTCCTCCTGGGAGGTGAATACAAATGCTCACCAACAGGGTAGACAAAACATTGCAACTCAACATTCCTATCAAAGTGCATCATTTTCATCTGTACAAGGTATAAGTAAACAAAGATTAATGATGATTCTAAATTAAAGTAATTCATCTTTGGTGAATCCTTCAAAGAAAAAATTCTCTTACTGACACTATTGTAAGTGCAACAACTGTTATTAAGAATACTAGTGCAAGTTGCCTTCATGATGATGATTTAAATCATAAATTTATTAAGTATTTAAGCTACTTTCAAAGAGTGTCTAATTTATTAACAATTAGTTTCTTATATTTTTATTTAAACACATAACCCAAAATACATGCAAAAGTGTGAAGAACCATATTGTACAAATTAATGAAAAGACAAACAAAGAGTAAATTTTATGATGCCAACCCTTGTATATTTCCAATCTTTCAACGCCATTGTTCACAATTTTCCCCCTCAGTACCTTCTTATGTAATATTGTGAGCCCCCAAACTCATCATGACTCCAGTACACAAAGATCATAAGCTCTTCTCAACTGAATAGTATTTGAGACACAATCTTAAAAATATGACACCTAAGTATATCAAAGTAATTCAAGTCCTCTTCCTCTTCCCATAACATTCACAAAGATTCCTACCTGTCACAGGTGTAATTATAAACAATTATTGGACAAGGTTTTTTGATATCTATAATAATAAAAAAAAGGAATGTAATAATTGTTTTGGAACATCTGTGGGTGGAACTGATAATTTATTTCTAAGCCCTAAAAATATACAAATCAGCGGCACATGATTTGATTGACAAAAAGGTCTAAGCATTAGACAATATGTGAAAAATTGAATAAAAGCTGGTCGAGAAAGTAAAAAATAATAAATACATTTAACTGAAGATAACATTACAATTGGTAAAAGTGAAATTCGACTACTTTTTCAATATCTTGCTCGGTCACCAAAGCAAATGTGGAAGTCATGTTTTTGTGACTGACAGCAAGCAACACAAAGTGCACAAACTTGACATGACTACCCTTAGAAAATCATGCACAGCAGTCATACATGACATGATTACCCAGGACCTTGACATGATTATTGTATAATCTGCAGCTAGATGATGTCCCAGGTGCTGATTTCAAAAATTCATTGTATGCATTTGGCCAATCAGAAAAGAGATAGTGAGTTGAATGTAAAATAATAATTAAAACAACACTTTGGAAGGTGCAAAATTTCTATGTCTGTGAATGAAAGTGTGAATTATGTAAGAGTGTTCATAAATGTGATGAAAAAAAGTTTTTCATTACATTGGTCTTGAAAGTGAACAGACTCTCAGTGGCAGGGCAACTTGAGCAGTGAAGCCTGTGAGAGGTCAGCAAGAAACCTGGATTAGGAATGCCAGACCTCTTGCAGACCATATTCCAGCTCAAATCTCTTGAGCTTCACTGCCTGCGATTTCATCAAATTTAAAAAGTTGATAAAAGTAAATATTATTGTATAATAACAAAATTATTATTTACTACCAATGTAGGTTATGGTGTTCGTGAGACCCCAAGTTTGCCTCCTGAGAAGGACAGACCCCCTAGAAATCGTTCTTCCAATGGGCAGAGTCGCCATGGTGACACCCATCTGCCTTCTTTTCCCAGAAGCCAGAGTGACGTGTTTGGTCCAGGAACCCCTAATCAAAGCCCACGTATAACTCGTCACAACACAATTCCAAGTAAAAAGCTAGAGCATATTCTGCCAGGTAATTAGGCATAGCAGGTAGTTGGCATTTATTGGAGAGTGGTTTGAGTTACAGGTATTTTTCTATTTTTTTTCAAAGGGGATGCTGTTTTGTGACACTTCAATTGTATTTGCTTTTAAGGATTGTTATGAAGTATTTATTGTGCTAAGTTTGCGTGAAGTGAAGATGACCATTTTTAACCAAAGACCTTCAATCTTCTCAAATAACTACAGGAATTTCTACCCCCTGGTGACATCTGAATTGAAAAAATTTGATTTGATACTGGAGCTTGGTTGTTGCATGTTGCACTAATAAAATGAACAGCTAGCAACTGTTACATTTCACCATGAATTGGTCAAACCAAAATGTGTAGAGAAAAGTTAGTGGTATACCATGTGTAAAGCAAAATTAATTAAGGAAAGGTTATTAAGATGATAACACCTTTCTGTAACATCTCTACAGGGTCTTTTTTGAAGGACAAAATTGTCAGTAGGGAAGATGCCATGGATGTTCTTATCCTCCATCTGGACAGATCAGTCTGTCTTGCTCCTGGGATTCCAGCCACTCAACGTTGGGAGCATCTTGCTGACCACTTTGAGGTACCAGACGATATAAAGAGTCAATGTGCAAATTTCTCTGGAAAGCTGAGCTCAAGTGAATCATTGTTTGAGCACTTATGTGCAACACAAGACTCCCTTACAGTGAAAGAGGTCAAAAGCTGCCTCAAGAAACTTGGACGAAATGATGTTGTCGCGGAGCTCGAGAAAAACAGTCACCTCAAAGGTAACCCTTCGACACCTTATGAAGCACAAGTTTGTTCTTATCTATAATGTGAGACATTTTGAATTGACTTAGTTTACCTTCCGCCCAACTTTGGTTACTTGACTCTGGACGTCGTCATATTACGCAGCGGCTCGTGATCAGTTAATCATCAGAGATTTCACAATTCTTGGCAACATGTATCACCTTTAGCTGGTTGGGTTTTAGAGCTATTGAAACGAAACAAAACTCCATGAAAACTGTAGCGGAATATTTTTCACAATTGACCTAAGCAATCAAATGCATTAACTAAATAACGGTTACCAAAAACAATTAATCGCGATTTTTAATCCTGTTTCTTAAG